TTAATTGAATCAAAACACAAATAAAAACATGCCAAAAACAAGCTTTATCATGTTTTATCACAAGTTCTGCTGTCAAGAAATAGGTGGAGTGAGTTGAGATGATGTTCAGCATATGTGCTACTCTAAATTAGGCTAAGCTGGTTAATTGCATGGAAAGTGGCAGCAAGAATTTTCCTAGAATCAGAGACTCACGAATGCTGCTGTGATACAAATAGGTTTGACAGGATGAGATAAAGTAGGCTCCTTCAGCTTAGCCGTAGTCGGGTTACTTTTATGGAAATCAGCATTGGTAAGAAATAGTGGCATTATGCTTATACTTACTGACCCAAATTTAACAGAAGCCAGAGGTATGGCTGTGGTGTTTAATTTGGTGATGCGCTGATGTGCAGGAGTCCAAAGTTGTTGTTTTTAATGCTTTAGGGTTATTGAACATTTTTGTTGTTGAACTCCTTTGATTTGCTTTGTGCTACAAAACCCTGTGGAAGGAAAGTGCAAAGTGCAACATCAAAACATTGGCGGTCATTACACTTTTATGAAATCACTATTTGTTGAAGTATTCTGTTTTACTGCAATAACCTAAAATGAAAAAACGCTTTTTTATGTTTCTGATATTACAATAATACCAACTCGAAAGGCATGTCCTTGTTTGCTGGAGCATCTCTCACTGACTCATAACTATCAAATTGTGTAAATGACATTTTTCACTCCTGTACGGTCTTTTTGCGATGTAATTTTTCACCCCACCTTAGTTTAAAACCGATTCTAGCTTAGTATAAGCCTTTCTTTATCTCATGCTAATGTTATTTTGGTTTTGACCCACGCGTTATGCACAAGATAAATGTGTGACAGGGAAAGCAGATTTCACATTAGTCGCCACTGCGCTGAAAACAGGGTATCAAGAAAGTATGAAAAATGTGTGAAGGTCTTCATGTGCTGCTGCCCCGAGGGGCCATGCGAATTCTCACGGATACACCTCCGAATGTCCGAAAAAACAATGGTGTTCTGCTTTGTTGCAATAACTGAAGGTGCTGCATTTCATTTTCACAAAAATACAAAGAGTGTACACGAGGAGAAATTGGACGCACTGTCCCAGTTCTCGCGCGCACCTGTCATTCTAATGTGAGTTTATTTAGATACCATTTCGGAATTTCTCAAAACAACATGTGCGCCACATCGATGCATTGACCTTTATTGACTTTGGCTGTGCGCTACATGATGCCAGACAGCATTGGGACGTTAAGTGGGTAGGTAAATACAAAGAAAGGATAGACAAATGGCTCGTGTTAATATAAGTTCGAGTCCAGACATGCTCAGGTGGTCCAAGATGCAAGAACTTTATCAAGAACTCCATCAAGAACTTAAGAACTCCAAGAACTTCATCGGCTTGGCAAGCAGCCTGCCATCATCCGAAATGAAGATATTTGGGTTTAGGGGCGCTTCGACTACCTCGATAACTGCGTCCATAGCAGAATCAAGTGACACTTCCATGATAATCACAACATGGAAGGAGCACACATTGAGTGCGCTGTCTTATCACAGATAACTCTGTCAAGGTGCGGGTTTTCCAGAGCCACTGTTAAGGGCTATCACACTTGTTTAGTGTGTGACTGCAAAACTGATTTCCTTCATACTCGTCATCACAAACCTCACGTCAATGATTGGGTCCTCATCTCATGAAGGCCAGCAGGTAGTTCCTCCCCAGCACGAGGGGAGCTTTACACCCCCTTGGAGATGGTTGGCGCCGCGAGCTGACTTCCGGCCAAGACCGCATCAGAAGGCTCTGCTTGCCGGGGGGGGGGGAGGGGGGGGGGTGATAGGGCAGTGACAGAGGCGGCCCCGCTGTTGCCGGGTCTTCGCTCGGGGGCGATCGCTCCCACTTGAGAAAGCGGAGACGCTGGGAGAGACCGCGAACCCTGGTTACGCTGAACCACGATTCATCCGTTGTTCTCGCGTTCTCTAGAGAGGGCGAGGTAAGCCTCATCGCTAGCACAATCTGTGGGAGAGCTTCCACAACCGTCGGAGCGGGAGCAGCATTCTTTTTACACTTGCTTCGCTATGCTGACGATTCCTTTGTTTTGATTCGGAAGGCAAGTTTGACCTAGATTTTTATTCAAGCTACCTTCGATTTGGTGGGTGAGCCGCTTGGCAGCCAGTAATTGCCGGATGCCTCTGTCGTTCGTGCAGCTTACCTGACCATGGTGACCAGGGCACCTCCAAACCTATTTGGGGATCGCAAGCTTTGAAAGTGCTTGCTCGCGTTGAAAGGGATCGCGATGACCCGCAGCGGTTCACAGTCGGGGTCAAGCTTTGCGCACTCATTACGCCCTACATTAAGACACTACATTAAGATACCAGAATCTGGTATGCAGGGCTCGCGAACAATTCAGTATGCCAAGCAAGTTATCAAATGTCCCCCCCCCCCGACAAGTGCGTAGGGTCTCCATTTAAGTGGAAAGTACCCAGGAACCAATTTGCAAGGCCCTAACGACCCGGTGTACCGAAGCAGGTTGACAAATGGGCCCCCGGCAAGACCGCGGGGGCCTAAGCAAATGCCGGAGAATTGAGAGAGCCCTGGACCGATGCAGAGGCCCATGAGCATATTGCGAGTTTGACGGTCAGTGAACCGAGAGCAATGTGAAGAGCCCCTGAACAGCCGAGAATACCCCGGCAAGATGACATATGGGGTGCTCAGCCATAGCGTATGGAATCTTTCGGGCGAATGGAAAGAACCCGTGGAAGGCCCCACATTGACAAGAGCACCCCGGTGCGCTAGCAGGAAGGGCCCAGCAACAGCGCAAGGCTCTCCTAGCACATGCAAAAAATTGAGGCCAACCTAGAAGGCTCCTTAACGATCAGATCGGCCTCGCAAGTGGACATAAAGGGCCCCGTAAACAGAGTAGGGCCTCTGGGCAGCGTACCGAGCTTTCGAGTCTTCCAATCATCACCCTCTTTATCAGCGAAGAAATACTTTTTGTCTACTTGCGGACCCCCAGCTTTCGCTTGCTGGTTGTTGTTTGTTCTTGGTGGACCTGGTGGCCCAAAGATGTCCAATTTTTGTTTTGTTTTGTGCCAAAAATTGTGTCTGTACGGCCGGCCATGGGCCCCTTTGGAACCTATGGGCCCCTTCGTAGCTCAAGAAGGGAGGCATGGCCCTGTGCCTTCTCCCTCTCCTGACACACCCCTGGCGGCGTCACCTGCATCATACTTGTGAAAAACGCGGCTGACGCAGGCAAAGAAAAACAACGCGGCTGACGATAACCGCATTAATCAAATGAAGCACGTTAGGTCCTACAACGGCGAAACGGCTAAGCACAAGCAGATGCGCACCGTCGATTCCAACAGCTATAAATCCAGATAAGTAACTCAAAGCCTTCGAAAGCTCGGGTAAGGTCGCGGAGTGTAAAACCAGTCCGGCTGTGCTTACGCACGGTGATCTGGGAGAAAGAGGTGGGTTCCCATGGCTGCCCGCCCCGGCCGGGCCGCATTTTTGGACCAATTGATTGGAACTGACTGTTTCAACCGTCAGCCACATCCGACGAAAACACCTCGTCAGCGCCTCCCCTCCCCCCCCCCCCCCCGCCAGCGGGTCCAAGTCCAAACCCACAGATAGCCCGCCTGAGATAGTCCCGGTCGGATAACACAACCGGCTCCTAGGAAAGCCATATTTGGCATAGCAATAAAAGCCATATTTTGCCTGAGCACGACGACCCGGACTTGCGCCCCCGCCCCGCCCCGCCATGCCACGAAACGCCCAAGCACCCGTGCAGCATTTCGGCATGTCCACGTCTTCCACTCGCTATTTAACCAGCACCAGATTCAGACATGACCCTGTTTGTATTTCGCCGTTTTGCCGTTCGCCAACATGGCATACTTGATGTTTCGTCAATTCGCTATTTTGCAGTTCGCATTAAGCCGATTTCGATATTTTACCGCGGCCACTTCTTTACACGTCGCTATTCCGCAGTCGTCATTCAGCACTCGACAAAAGGGTACTGGCCAAATGGAATTTTCCACTTTTTGTCCCAGAACCGCTCAGAGCCGCGATGTTGTTGAGGAGCGCCGGTCGTGGGATCTCGCCCCTAGCAGAGTCCAGCGATTCAGTCGCACCGCGTCGCCGCCAGGTATCCCTCTCAACTCACTGCGGTGATTCAGCGTGACTGCACCCGCCAGTGAGTATTGTGCTCCGCGTAGTACGATGATGATTTGATGATGACTCCATTGGACTGCACGCTTTCCAGAATGCCGCTCTTCGTACAGTGAAGCAACTCCGTTTAACCGTTGCTGCCCTACCCTTTCGCAGTTGCAACGGTGTCATTGGTCTACGTTTGTCTCAGGGTCTCGCGCTACGCGCACTGCAGCCTCACTTGTCTGATCCTACCCTCCGAGCACTGCAGCAATGTCTTCAGACTGCACCTCTCCCAGGATCTCGCCGTCCGGCGTCTTGCAGTGCAGTGATGCCGGCTGTCGCTGACTGCGTGCGGCAGTGGCCGACTGCGGCGGAAGGCGAGGTGCAGTCGGCGGATGCCGCGCCGGACGCCCTGACAACGCCGCACTGCACCCCGCACTGCACTCCCGCTCAGCTGACGAACAGACGCGCTGCGGAGCGCGGCCTTCGTCGCGCTGCACCTCCGCCGTGCGAGTCGGCTGTGTGCTGGAGCTACCAGTACGAGGGTGCTATATCACTGGCAAGGTCTGCGGCCGTGCGTGTGACAGCAGCGCCGCGCTGGTGCGAAATGCGATGCTTCGCGAGGCGGCCGAAAGCTTCGCGTGACGTTGTCGGGATGCTCTCGCCAGTGGCAGCGTCGCGACTGCTGCGGGGTTTCCAGATGTGCTGCGGCATCTTTCGCAGGTTACACGCTGCACATGGCCAGAGTGATGCTTGGATTTCGCCGTCGGCGTGCTGCACAGCAGCAGCTGGCGCGCGGACAGCGTTACAGGCTAGTGCTTGGCGAAACAGAGGACGGCACAGGCAATGTCCAGTACTTCAGGCACCTGGCGAAATGGAATCGGAGGACTACCGAGGCGAATGGCGAGTACTTCAAGCGCATCAATGGATGGGGCGTGATATTGAATTTCGAGACTTATATGGTCATGCGTCCGCCCGGCAGTCCACCCCGCTTCCGTCCACCCCCCCCCCCCCCCCCCTCGGTGGCGTCATATCGTCCCGCCCACCCAAGATACCGGCTGCCGCCGCATGATCGCGCGTTACCGCAGAGTGGCCAGCAGCGCGCCCAGGCACACCCGCATGGCAGGCAGCGGCACCCGCAGCCGATTATGGCTCCCAGGCTGTCGCGTGACTCTGTACAAACATTGACATCTGCATGACGTTTCTGGTAGTTGACCATGTCCGGTAGTGGAGGAGCGGGCCGGGGCTGTCCTCGCCCGCCTCTGACGCGTGAGTCAGCGGCGCGAGCTGGCGTCGTCCCACGACAGGTAGTGCAGGTCAGTTGGCGGGGTGGGCGGGTCGCGTCTGGTCCGCGCACGAGTCGCTCGCAGCGA